ATTTCTCGCATGTTAAAGATTTTTATTAAAAAAATGTTCAAAAAGTAGATGCGAGCCTGTTGGTGTACCGCGTGATCTGCTAAATAAATTTCTTGTCAGAATATGGTTTTAGAAATGTTTCGGCCTCAGCTCCCCTAATTGGATAGATTTTTGTTCGAATATTTTATTTCATCTGATTTATAGGATACCCTAATATGAAGACAGATAAACCAAGCTTGTCAGTTTCAGTTCCAAAAACATGTTATAGAGGTTTACTTGCATACTCGTATATAAAAAATTGTAGCAACGAAAAGTATGGTACCGTTTTTAATGCGCTTCGACGAGAAATAGACCTTTTATTTTCCCTTCAAGCAGTTAGTTTTTATTCCTACACCATATTATATTTTAGTATTTCCATATGTTATTTAACTTGTCTGCATAAACCGTACCAATCTTCAATAATTTAATTTTTCTAAATTTAAATTTTTCTATGAAATTATCTGAGCTATCCTACATTTTCCTACTGGTTTATTCCTATGTATAAGCTTATTTACAGAAATACATGCACACACCCATACATTTTTCGTGAACACGCTGCTGTCGACATCAATTAAAATTAACTACATATTTTCAACACAAAATGTGGATTTTATTCAAGGGCTTGTGGTTTGTTTTGTTAGTGGCTTATTGTTAGTTATTTTGCAATTGCGAAAACGTGCCTATCTCGCAAAAACAAAAAAACAACAAATATTATTAATTACAAAAAATTGTACAAATTAGTTTCAGCTTAAACTCTTATGAAAAGATTTGTTGTATTGCATATTTTATTAATTTTTATATAAATCAAAACATAGACATCTCATTTGAGTATACCGCCACGTTTTAATTAAGTGACATATATGGTATATACATCTGAGCCGTTTATTTTGAAAGTTGTTTAAGTCCATTTTTAGAAAAAAATTTAGTTAATGATACAATAATCACAATCCTATATGATCTTTTTTTTATAAACAATATAAATTTAGTATCATTATAATCGCTATGATTCGGGGCACTTGAAATAAGCTAGTTAACGAAGTGCAAAATTCTTTATTTTGAAGCTGCAAGAAATAATTTTAATATGAATGTCTTATGTTACAAAATTACGAAAAAGGTATTATTGCACAGCACAGCAATAAAATTTACTACGAAGCAGTAAAACGTATAAAGTGAAAAAATTATAAATTTGTGTTTCTTCGGTAATATAATATGAAATTTCTAGTATTCTTTAACAGTGCAATAATAGTTGTGTTTATTAATTATAATTTAAGTAGCTTCTTAAGTTTTACCTATAATCTTTAATATGTATGACAAAGGTTACACTGGAATAACCTCAGATAGTGACCAGGTAACAAAAAAGAATTAACTTATTAATTGTTTATAATTAAAATAGCTAATAGTACTATAAAGAGAAGAAGAATCATAGAAAATTATTTTTCATCAGATGATGATGATGGAGTTCCATGTGATTTCAGCGCAAAATTTTTAAATACATGTTTTTCTTAAATAAAACAAGAAACAACGTTATCTTCGGTTGCACCGAAGCTATAATACCCTTCACAAATACAAAGGTTCCTTACAAGAACTTGATTCCGATCTAATTTCACGAAGATACCTCGTCAAATGAAAGATTTTTCCATACAAGCACTTTATTCCCACTTTATTCAGCTAATATGGCAGCTATATGCTATAGTCATCTGATATATACAATTTCTTCGGAGATTACATGGTTACCTTTAATAACTTAATTTCATAATACCTCATCAAATGAAAGAGTTTTCCATACAAACACTTTATTCCGATTGTTCAGTTTGTATGGCAGATATATGCTATAGTGATCCGATATTGGCCGCTCCGACTAATGAGCAGCTTCTTAGTGAGAGAAGGATTGGTGTAAAATACGATAGCTTAAAAACTGAGGGACTAGTTTGTATATATACAGACAGACGGACCGACAGACGGACCGACAGACGGACATGGCTAAATCAACTCATTTCATCAAGCTGATCATTTATGTATATATGCTATAGGGTCTCCGACGCTTCCTTCTGGGTGTTACAAACTTCGTGGAAACTTAATATACCCTGTTCAGGGTATAACAAGTTTCCGATATAAACACTTGCTTCCGATTGTTCAGTATGTATGGCAGCTATATGCTATAGTGGTCCGACATCGGCCATTCCGCAATTTCAGATCGATATCTCAAAAATATATACAGACAAACACTTCATTCCGATTTTTCAGTTTGTATGGCAGCTATATGCTATAGTGGTCCGATATCGGCCGTTCTGACAAATGAGCAGCTTCTTGGTAAGAAAAAGACTTGTTCAAAATTTCAGATCGATATCTCAAAAACTGAGGGACTAGTTCGCGTATATACAGACGGACATGGCTAAATCAACTCAGCTCGTCACGGTGATTATTTATATTAGGTCAAGTAAAAAGTTCGTTCGGTTTTTATCTAAGAGATGGCGTTATTGTCCATAGTATTAGTGTTACGTGTCGCATCATGTCATACGACTAAACGTGTTTATTCGCGCTAAAAGTTTGTCTTTGACAGTTTTTCGATTGATTTACTCAGTTCGTTGTGAGCGCTCGTCAAAGATGGACACCAACAAAGAGAAAATTCGCTATATTTTACAATTTTTCCTCGATCAAAGCGAAAAAGCAGCCAAAGCGGCTGAAAACATTAATTTAGTTTATGGGCCCGATACTGTAAACGAACGTGTAGCACAAAAGTGATTTGCTAAATTCCGTTCCGGTAATTTCGATGTCAAAGATGCACCACGCGTGGAAAACCACATCATGGAAAAAGTGGAAACAGACCGCCACGTGAGCACTTATTTAATTATTGAGGAACTAAAGATAAGCCAGAAAACCGTTTGGAACCATTTGCATAACCTTGGATTCAAAAAGGAGCTCGATGTTAGGGTGTCACACGAACTAACGCAAAAAACATGATGGGCCGAATTTCCATCTGCAAATCGCTGCAGAATCGTATCAAAATCGACCCGTTTCTGAAGCGGATTGTGACTGGCGATGAAAAATGGGTCACTTATGACAGATGGTGGCCAAGACTTGATTGACGGCCAGGAAGGTTTTGCTGTGTGTTTGGTGGGTTGGGCAAGGAATCATCTACTGCGAGCTGCAACCCCTATGGCCAAACGCTCAATTCGGCCCTCTACTGCCAACAACTGGACCGCTTGAAGGCAGCCCTCATCCAGAAGAGGCCATCTTTGATCAACAGAGACCGAATTGTGTTCCATCAGGACAACGCCAGGCCACACACGTCTTTGGTGGCTCGCCAGAAGCTCCTGGAGCTCGGATGGGAGGTTCTAATGCACCCACCTTATAATCCGGACCTGGCACCAAGTGATTACCATCTTTTCCTGTCCATGGCGAACGCGCTTAATGGTGAGAAGTTGGCCTCAAGAGAGGCCTGTGAAAATTGGCTCGCCGAGTTTTTTGGCAATAGGGACGCAGTCTTCTACGAGAGGGGTATAATGAAGTTTATATATATAGTCTCCGCCGTTTCCTTCTGCGTGTTACAAACTTCGTGGCAAACTTAATATACCCTGTTCAGGGTATAATATAACTATTTAGAGGAATCACTATGTATATGTACATTTTTGGATAATTCGTTCAATATTATTGTGAAACTAAAGTATTTTCTTTACTGTTGGAATTATATAAACGTAGTGGAGTAACTTTAAGTGAAAAAATTAACTTATAATAATATTAAACAAAGAACACAAAATAGGAAGCTAAGAAGTTACCTAAAATTACTATTACGGGAACTATTACATTAGACATTCAACTAAATATTTTTCAAAGACAAATAAATGTGTTCTCTGAAAGTATGATTGCAAAATTGTAATTTTTGAAGTTTTCACTGATTTGAATAATTACCAGCAAATTTTAATGATGTTCAAAACCAACTATAAGTGGCACTAATAAATTTTGGTTGAGCTTTTCTCATTTGTGGAGCGCCTCTTTATATTATCCAAAGGCTTTCTCACGAATATCTTGGTGATGGGCCGCTTAATACGTTTACATACAATTTTATTTTCAATGTAATTTTTTTGGTAATACTAAATTTCAAAGCTTTGCATCAAACCATCGCTCTCTCTCTCTAAGAATTCGTCAGGCGGAAGCAAATGCAGTAGTTTACCGGAAAGGATTATTTTCGTACAAATTTGTTGCCATTTTGTCTGCTCTAAGGACAAACCAAGGTTGAAAGAAATTTAGTTTTTGACAATTTAGGATCGTCATTTTTTAGAGGGCTTTGACAAAAAAATACATAAGTGACGTAATAATCAAAATGCGGGATGCTTGTTTACAATTACAATGAAAGATTGACAGTTCCTTTCGTTTATCACGTTGCATGCTGAAAACTTGTCCCTATCGTTCTTAGGCCAAAACAATTTTCTTTGAAATATATAAATTTTTTTCAACAGACTTTCTGTTAAGAATGATTAAAGAAACAAGGAACTACTGGCTCACCATTTACACCTTCAGGTAATTATTAAAGTACTAAGCATTCCAGTAGCCAATATTCAAACTTAAGAAATGGCATATAAAAACACACAAGTTTCATAAAAAAATGCACACTCATAAATTTAAAACCGATATTTTGCGTTTAAAATTTGATGGACCATAGAAATACAAATATATTGTGATAAAAATCAACTGAGTATAAAGTATGTATAAACTATAAATCAGTTACAATTTATACTCATATATTTCAATTAACATGATATAAGTATTCATATTAGAATATAAAACAAGCGTCATCATTCAAAATATATACTGTGTATGTAGGTATATACAAAGTGTCGCATTAACTGTATATACCTAATTATAGGAAAATATTATATGTAAATAAAATTCAGTGCAAGATTTCATTATTTAATTTTTCCTTTTTAAAGACACAAGTTTTAATGTATGCGTATCATTATTTTATGTTTTTCTTTTAAACTTACTTTTGCTGTTCCGCAGCCAACTCATCTCTTTTTATCGAAATTAATCTCTGCAAATTCTCTTGCTCTGCCAATGCGATACGCTGCCGTTCCTCGTACAACTGACGCAGTTGTCGTATATTGCCCAATTGCCGTTCGTATTCTTGTCTCAAATTGCTCGACATGATTTTCAATTCACGTTCTCCGAATGCCGTTTCAATTTCGTCTAATTTAGATTTAAGCTGAAAATGGAAACAAAAATAATTTCAATTAACTCTTGTATTATATGTTATAAATTTTAAAATTATTTTTTTTTTGGAAATGATTTGCTAAATTTTACTCCAAATCTTATATTTTCACTAGAATGAAGTACTGATGATATCTGTTGATCATTTACAAAAATGTTGCATTAAATGTCGCTGTAGGCTTCTTATTATCGTATTTTGATATAATAATTTTGAATTGGCGAATGGAACAACAAATGATATAAATCACACAGACTCTCTTAATCAAGGAGATACAGAACGTCAGAACAGTTATATCACTTTAATGAGGTATATGGTACTCTCTAGAACTTAATTATATATGTATACTTGTATATTGTAATTTAATTTTTTAATCCATTCACGGGAAAATTATTTAACAGAAAAGTAGAGCTTAAATTCAGTCGCCAAAGAAGAGGCGAATCGAAGACGGTTCATTAGAGAATCCATGAACTGATTTTCAATATCAAAACTGATAGAAGGGAAATGTTACTATAAATGCTTTCATCATACTTATAAGAACTGTCCCAAATTTTCTTAATTTGTTGTTAGAAAAATTAATATATTTAATAATATTTGAGGTAAAATAATCATACCCAAAGGAATCAGAACGAAGTAGCTAACGTAGCTGATTTGTACTGGCTGAAGCGTGTTTTTAGACAGAAAATAATTTCGAATATTTGAAACAAGATGACGTAGCGTTAACGCAATTATTTATTTTTGAAAATGAAAGCGTGCGAACGTAATGCCGCAGATGTTTTGGGACAAAACGCGCATGTATGCCACTTTGTAATTCAATGACAAGGTCATTGTACAAGTCCCAAGCAATTTATAAGAAAAACATTTATTTTGCGCAGAGGATGAGTAAACTATCAAGCGTTTGGTGAGTAATACTTGTATTAAGATATTTTATTATTTTTAAAACGCGCACAATAAATTACAAAATTACATGTGTTACACGGGGTATAAGTGATATTATCTTAGGAAGCAATTACTTGTTGACTTTACTCTATTGTTAACAATTTCCTATTCGGCACCTCTCCGAATAATAAAGCGTTTTAATAAAACAAAATGTATGTAAAGGCAACAACATAGTTATTTAGTCGAATTTAGTACAATAGAGTATATATTGTAGATACTTGTACTCTTTATGTGGAATAATCACTTACTACTTCATTATACATACTAATCTGCTTAATGTATTTATACAAGTTGTTTACTCGATTCAAAAATTAGCAAATCCAAGACTGCTATAGAAGAACTTTTTTTAAATAAAAAAATATTTTTTATATTCCTTAAGTGATGGCAATAGTAAATTCATATATACTTATCGAAAAATTATCCACAAAAAATGACAATCATCAACGTCATCTATGCACTTGAAATGTACATTTAAAAAAAATATTTTATTAAAAAAATGTTTGAAATACCAATAAGCATACAAAATATATATTATATATATACATATTGTTATGTAAAACGATTTTCAAGGAAGAAATATGGGTAAAATGGTATAACAATAGTTTTAAAAATGGATTTTTAAAACATAAAACTTTCCAATTTATTGAGATCAATATTTTAATCAACAAACAGTTCCATCGATTTTGCAAATTGTCTTTCACAGACACATTGACTTAAATTTATATATGTATATGTATGTAGGACGCTCGAAAGTTATTTAAATTTAGTTCCAATATACAAAGCTCCACAGAAAAAGCATCGATCACTTAGGGACCTTAGATGCATCTTAGTGGCTGTTATTTTGGCATTCTTTAGCTGATCCTGTAAAAAAGAAGAATTAACAATTTAAGATAATACCGAAGATGATTTACCACCCACATTCAAAAAAATAAATATTGTTAAACTTACTTGATAAATTGAGTATGAGCAAGTCGCAACAAAATGAAATAATATTAGGTAATCCTTAAAGTTCAAATCTCTTTTTCTGATTGGGAATCACCACAAGACATAAGAAACAACTAAAAAGCGATTATTGTTATTCAATTCTACGCTAGTATTGTCATCAGAACCTACATGCAGCACCATTCAAAACAATGAAAAGGGATGGTTTCATGATTTGAATATACAAATATCCAATTTTTGAAAATAAAATTTTTTCGTGATTCGACTACAATGTTTAGAAATCACTTAAATTATTTGCTAAGTGCAAAAGGTAAACGTTAACTCAACCTCTGTCCAAAAAAAATGTTGATACAACTGTGAATACTTTATGGCGAATGATCTCTACTGTAAATCTGGAAAATTAATATACATACAATACCAATCCTTATCGCCCTAAATTCTATGCGCGATTTTTCTTCATTTCTACAATTAAAATTTGTTCATAAAAGCCATCAACTTAAACAGCTTAGAACTTATAGAAGGAGCTCTGCCAAACATCTTGCAATGTTGTCAACTCTCATCACGGCGCGACGAAACTAGGCAAACAAATAACTTCCCCCATCTAGTTACTAAAAATATATCATTCTTTCTCTTCCTCTGAACAGAGATAAATTATCTGGGTTTGAAAAATCTAAAATATGGCAATATCCACAACATCGGTTTAACGCTGCGAATCGTTATCCGGACAAAGAAAAAAAGAAACTGACTCCACATATTCTAATTCTTCTAACAAAACTCGACGGGGAAAAGAGAGGAGTTCAGCATACAATTTGTTCCAAGATTTAATAGGCAATAAGGTATAACTGAAAAAATATAGAGCCCGAGCTGCGTTGAATAGAATTAGTCGCCGAGTTCGTAAAAAATACAACACATTTTATTGCGCAAATTGCATACTCACCTGTACACACTGTTCCTCTTTTACATTGAGCATCTGCTTGCAACAGGCAATAACTTCCTTCAATGTGCCGACTTGTTTTTGTACAACACCCATTTCCGTGCGCAGTGACAGATTCTCCGCATTAGCCATTTGGAGTGCCAGCTGTGCGTTAGCTAACTCAATATTGGCATGACGTCCTCGACTTTGTGGATCCTCATCATCAGAGTCGGGTTCAGCACTAGTGGCACCACCAATAGCACCCTCTTCATCGGCCGTCAACACTTCCACATCAGTGCTGGACAGCTCGACGGCATTATTCCGTCGTAAACGACGTGTTAACTCCTGCTCCTCAGCCAATTGTCGACGCAATGTGGCAATCTCATCGCGTAAATCTTGCACAGCCGTTTGACGAGCTAACCGCTTAATGCGCAATTCCTCCTTGAATTCTTCAAGAGTTTGCTCACGTGCGGCTGCTTGGCTGAGTGCGACTGGGTTATGTGAGTCGGGTAAACGATAAGTTGCGTCGTTATTTTCTACCTTTACAATGTCAGACTGTGTTTTCTCGGCCAACTGCTTGTTAAGGCTTGTAGCCACAACAATACTTTCGGCAATCGCATTATCAGCACTACCATCACTGGTACTTGTATTGTTCGCCAACAATGTCACGTTAACAATTTCGCCGCTCTTCAAAGATGAGATAAAATCTGATGACAATTCATTGCTGTTGTTGTTATTGTTGTTGGTATTTTCACTTTCACTATTCGACGCCGAGTTAATATTTGGCACGAGGTCTAAAATCAAATCACCATTCTCCACTTCCCACCACCAAGCGTCTTCGTCGTGGGGCTGCGCTTGTGCCGCCGTTATTGAAGATTGATTGACGAATGTTGTAATGCCCCCATATTCCTGTTGTTGTTGTGTGGGCTCTTCTCTTTGTTCATCCATCTCGTACGAGGGAGATCTTATGCGCTCGTCGCAAGTATTCTATCTTTGGTGGGTGAAGGCTCTATTATTATTGCGTATGTGTGATTGAATATGTAACTCTTTGGGGTATGCGGTTGCGACCGGCGTTTAAAATGTACCGTTTGTTTGTGTGGACGTCTTCCTACTGCAAAACGTTGTGCCAGTTCGACGACCAAGACAAGAATTTTCGTCTTTCAAGACAAAAGACCGACTGAGTGGCCCGTGTGTTTGGCTTCGGTAATGGGTTACCATACAACTATTTATGTTTCGAGAAATTGCGAACTTTACCGTTGCGTCCTATCCTTCCTTGTATCCTCAACTGCGTTTTAATTTTTATAATTTGTATTTATATACATATATTCTATATATATATATATATATATATAAATCCGTTTTTTAGGAAGATCAGGATTTACACTGACTGATTGAATTCGTAAATCACTTTAAAACATCAACACTAACCAATATATGTACTTTGAGGCATATATGTACGTATGTAGAGCAAATTTTCACAGTTCAACTTTTCTTATTTCTTTGTACATTCCATACATAATATATTTATAATTCAAGAACACATTAAATATATCTTATCACAAAAGTTTATATACATATGTATTTACATATATGTATAACACTTAATAACACATATTCTGCTTTATTTCATAATTTCTGCATTCCAAATTATTTTCGAATATTTCACAATTATTTCCATAGGTTTTTCACACCATTAGAACTTTACAGTTAATTATTTAACTCAGTTCTTTCTCTAAAATTTCCAGTTATTATGAAAGCATGTGAAAGAAAACTTGTATTAAGTGCAACTTATCGGCAACAGTTCTCTTGAAAAACTGACAGCGCGTGCTATTTTTAAAAAATTTACGAGTAACAGAAAGAAAAATTCATGCTTTTCACAGCGAGTATGCACGATCTTGGCGAGCAAATTCATATGATTTTATTTATTTTATTTAGTTTTTTTCTTTTTACATTTTCTATTCCTTTTCATTTTCACGTGAAACTTTCGGCACTTTGTGTTTTTGTTTTGGTCATTGTTGCTGTTGCTGTTGCTGTTGGCTTTGTTTTTAAAATTTGTTCTTCTTGAAAACAGAGAAGGTGAACATTTTAATTAATCTCAGATGTTTTTAGTGTTGTAACAAAAACGCCAGCGAATAATTTTCCGGCAAAGAAGAATTCATGGCAATGTACCCACGAGCTTTCGTTGAAAAAGCTACAGTAGTTTGTGAGATATGCGCATTATACTTATTAGAGAGCAGGGCTGAACTCAATTAAACCACAAATGAGTTAGATAACTATTTTGGAACTTACTTAACGTTTGAGTTACTGGAATTCATGTTTTTGTATTTAATGGCGTTTTATGCAATAAAAGCCATTTTAGCGTTCTAAGAAAACCGTTTCCCAAAATGCATCAATAAATCTCCATTTCTTCTTACGTCTTGTATAGATTTTGTACATAAAATTAGTAATTAAATTATTATTCTCTCAGTATGTCTCTTCTCTAAGTTAGTTAAAATATAACTTTCTTGTGGGTCATAGCACGATCTGTCCAGTTGTATTTTAAGTGTGAGGGTAAATATAATCAAGTAAGGATGAGCATGGCATCTTAAATACATTAGAGATAGTTCAAATTATTCTCTTTTAACTTAGTTCCTTATGGAATATTTTTTGAAAAGATGAGTCCGAATCAATAGAGATGACGCATGTATTCGATACTTTGCAGACGCAACTATGTAATCATTGATATTTCTATGCTCATGACCTCTTAAAGGGACTGTTGTCACTTTTTTAGCAATATAAGATTTTCTCCAAATAATTTTTTTAGGATTCTACCGAGGTAAAAGTCCTTAACCATATACATATATATCTGAGGCTGATCCTATAGCCTAAGGCTGATTGTCGTAAGAACGTCTTATTATTAAATATTGTCATTATAACTACTATCACATTATGAGCATCTTATAAAATTTCAGCCTTATCGTCTACAAAAGACTTGATTTCTTAGTCATCTTCGTAGTTCCGAGCATTTACAATTTGTTATGGTGACCCTACATAAGTTTTAAAGTTCCATCTTCATAAATATTAATAAATAAATAGAATACAAGAGTACATTTTTGGCCTACTCACATACTCACATTAATAGCAATAAAATATGTTTTGAGTTAATTGTATTAAATTTAAGGTATCTATAATCTATAAATATATTATACATATATGTATGTGCATTGATCCAACTTAACCAGCCCCTCACGGTTCACTTATTTTCACAATACACACATTAAGGTTTGTATGTGTAAATTTACTGAAACAATTTTATTATAGTAAACATGCTTGTTCTTTACAATGCATTATCCTTTAAATATGCATTTAGTATTTTAGTACATTTATGTTCATTTACAAAATCTATAGGTAGCTGCAAAAACAAAAGCAAGCCCTTCCTTCTTATATAACCGAACATACTATACTCTTGCAATTTGCAAAAGAACAAAGCCGATTAATACCTTTGGACGTTGGCAAAACTTTATGGAGGGTGATCCATTTCGAGATTCCCTACTTTTTTAAAGAAAAAAACACAGAAAATTCATATTTAATGAGGAATGTTTATTATCATTCGAAAGAACATTCTTTGGCATTTATTTTTTGAAGAATGTCTCTTTCAAATTATGGTCGCGGCTACGCCTCAAATAGCCCATCCATAGAGTCGAATTTTCTACGACTCGTTCGAGCATTTCGACTGGTAACTGGCGAATGATACGCCTGATGTTTTGCTCCAAGGCATGAATTGAAGCGGAATTATCTGCATAGACTTTAGACTTTACATATCCTTATAGGAAGAAATCTAACGGTGTGATATCACACGATTTGGTGGCCAATCGACCGGCCCAAAACGTGAAATTATCTGCTCACCGAAGTATTCTCTCAATAAACCCATTAATTGATGCGATGTGTGGAAAGTGTCGCCGTCTTGTTAAAACCAAATGTCGCCGAGATCACAAGCTTCAATTCCAGGCATTTAATTGACGGTTACGTTCTCACCGGTATCATTTTCGAAGAAATATGGACCGATGATTCCACCGGCCCACAAATCATTCCAAACAGTTCTTTTTTCTGGATGAAATGACAGCTCTTGATTTTCTTCAGGTTTCTCTTCGTTCCAAAAGCGGCAATTTTGCATGTTTACATACCCATTGAGCCAGAAATGGGCCCCATGGCTGAACAAAATTTGGCTCGAAAACGTCGGATCTTCTTGGAACTTTTTAAGAGCCCATAGAGCGAAGCGATGTTGCTTGGGAAGCGGCTTCAGTTCTTGCACAAGCTGTATTTTGTTTCAATTTAAGATCTCGACGTAAAATTCGCAAAGTCGTTCCATACGTCAGTCCGAGTTGCTGCGAACGACGCCGAATCGACTCTCCACGGTCTTCGTGTACACTCTTAGCAACAACCGCTATATTTTCTTTACTGCGTGCTGGACGTGGTCAATTTGGTCGAATATTATCTAATAATGAATGCTGGGTCTTAATATGGGTGATAGTTTTGCGAATAGTACGCTCAATAGGCCGATTATGTTGACCATAAGTTGAGCGAAGCGTGAGATATATGAAAAACAACAGAAAATTACTTTATTCGTTCGAGTTGATCTTAAAACTAATTAACGACAAAAATCACGCTTCTTTCTAACTGTATGGAGAGGTTATACATTAAATATATAATATTATGTAAAATGCGCATATGTGTGTCTATCATATAATAATCTTTACAGTGGAAGTTTAGTGAGTACGTAACTCGCGCGAAACACTTTCTTTACAGCATGATGAGCTGAGTTGATTTAGCCATGTCCGTCTGTCTGTATATATACAAACTAGTCCCTGAGTTTTTATGCTATCGATCTGAAATTTTGCGCCTGTCCTTTTCTAACAAAGAAGCTGCTCATTTGTCGGAACGGTCGATATCGGACCACTATAGCATATAGCTGCCATATTAACTGAACGATCGGAGTAAAGTGTTTGTATGAAAAACTCTTTAATATCTTCACGAAATTTGGCATGCATTATTATTTAAGGCATTAATCTAATCTCCGAAGAAATTGTATAGATCGGATGACTATAGCATATAGCTGCCATATTAATCGAACGTTCGGAATCAAGTTCTTGTAAGCGGCCTTGAGGCAATGTTTTTATGTCTATATATTCGTTAATGTTTGATTTGTATACTGAAATTACTACTTACTTTATGGAAATTAGGTGTAGTTGTACTCCGATTTCGCAATGTGACATAAGCTTATCAGGATAATGTGATCTGTCAAATTTAGTTGAAATCGGTTTAGTAGATCCCGGGACATGCGTTTTCACCTAAAGGTGGACGAAACCACGCCTATTGTCCAATTTTCGTATTGGCTCCGATAAATCTAAATTGTACCGCCAATGTGTAAAATTTAAATTCTCTGACTTGTATATTTAATAAGTTATCACACTTTCAGTAGTTATAATCAAACCGTTATACCATGGTGGGCGAAGTTATCACCCGATTTCACCAATTTGCATACTGTCTGTAGGGGTGCTAAAAAGATTTTTCCTGAGTGAATTTGGTTATTAAAGCTTTAGTGTTTTAGGAGATATGCACATTAAATCTATTAGAGGGCGGAGCCAAGCCAACTTTTTAAACATTTTCAAACCAAAAATGCCCTCTTTAATGTGATTCGTTGTACCACATTACAGTTTTGTATATTTATTTACTGTTTATATACAGTCAACCCTCCTACATATAACTCGGTGAGTGCGAACCGCGTTATATGGAAACCAATATGGACAAGATAAATTATAAATTATTTTTATTGAACTGAAGAGTTTATTTAAAGAAATGATACCAAAACTAAACTAGAAAACTGTTTTCCAACAAAAACAATAAAGACTTTTGTAAAATTTAATCTTTCAACACTCATCCTCGCTGTCAGATAATAAGTTACCTAACTCGTCAAACTGATTTCCCCACTTGGCTCAACTACACATTGGTTTTCGATTGTAGCTTTTTTTAACTCCACTAAAACCTCTCTATAGGGAGCTAAGCAATTTCTTAACTCCCTTTTAAACTTTGCGCTACGCACTGTTGAATGACCAGTTTCAATGAAATGGAGCTCTAATTCTTTAGCCAAATTTAGGCCTTTTTCACATATTGTAAATCGACATTTTTCCCCCATTCGTTTTCCTTATTTTCGTTTACCAATGGATTTGAGGTGGGTGCATCAATTAAATCCATCAGTTCATCCTCATCTAAAGTTTCTTCCCCGAGTGCGAGTTCTCTTACATCCTGATGGTTTGTTGTAAATTCTTCATCGCCTAAACGAGAAGCAATATTTACTATTTCTGTAACTGGGAGAGAAATTTTATTTAGAATCATCTTGTATTGCTTGAACCATTTCAGGTAAAAGGGGTTTTCAACACGCATTAAGCGTTGATGGTTTAATTTCGGCGCAAGCCGATGACACGGTTCTAATATAATCTAAAATATAAAATTCCATCCAAACTTGAATAAGAGTTTTATTTCCACCACTTTCTAATCTGTCGAAAATGGTTTGGAAAACTTAGCGTGTGTAATACATTTTTAAAGTCAGAATGACTCCTTAGTCCAAAGGTTGTATTGATGTCGCGCAGTTAGGAGGAAAGAAGGCAATTTTTACATATGGATGATCCAGTTGTATGTTGTGGCAACCAGCGTTATCAAGAACCAATAAAACTTTGAAATACAAATTTTTTTCCATCGTATGGGTTTCCACTGCCGGGATAAAACAATTATAAAACCAATCCTTAAATAAATCTTGGGTCATCCAAGCTTACTTATTAGATCGCCAGAAGACAGGCAATTCGGTCTTATTAATGTTTTTCATAACACGGAAAGTTGAAGTCCGACTTATTATCATAGGTTTTATCATCAG